ACACACACACACACACACACACACACAGAGGCAGTCTTCATGGTAGCTATACTAATTGACGAGATCTTAAGTCAAACAATTTTTGCCTATATTTTCCAAGCAACAAGGCTTGAAGAAGAGTTTTATAAAATTAAAGCACTCGTCAAAATCAAAATAATTATTCTAAGAGCAAAAAAATTTCAGGTCCATAAACTGAACCACATTAATTAAGTCTCATGTTTTGCTTACATACTGGAATTGTGCAAACAACTCCCATATTAAAAAAATAATAATAAAGATGTTGTTATTTCAGAGTTGACTGACAGAATCAATTAAAATTTCTCATAAAAATTCCTACCATCTTTTTCAAGATTAGTCTTGACTTATGCACATTTTAGTTTGGGCATCTACAAGAAGATATTTCTCGCACAAAATGCAATTGCTCTGTATGTATGTACTATATAGATGCTGCCATGTTTATAAAGTGTTTCTCTGTAGAAGCTGGGGTTCTGGCTCAGTGGTAAAGTGCTTGCCTAGCATGTGTGAGGCCCTGGGTTTGATCCTCAGCACCACATAAAAATAAATTGATTAGAAAAATAGGTATTATGTTCAACTACAACAACAACAAAGAAAACATTTTTTAAAAAAGTGTTTCTCTGTAAAGTATCTCCAAGTTTTCATTTCTCAGGTTTTGATGTTCTCAGAAATGCAGAAGGAAAAATATTAATACTTACAAATACTCTATGAAACAGTATTTCTTTTTAGTTGTAAATTTTTCATATAGTCAAATAATTATTTACTGAATTGTAAAGTGATTGCTTGAACAAGAAATTGTGCTCACAATTTAGCCACTTTCCTTTCCCTTCCTCCAACCACCAGTTAACCAGCAATTTATTTAACCTCCTAAGCATCAGTCTTGCAATCTATGAAACAGGGATTTGTTGCCAGCATTTTCTTTGTCTACTTCCTGGGTTGGGTGGTGTGAAGTTGAAATGGAACAATGTGTGGGAAAAAATGCTTTGTATATTGCAGAGTGCTGGGGAAAATGCGCTTGCTGGGAAAATGCACTTATCTCCCTTCAATTGCCCTAGTTAGTACCAGGACCAGTGAATTGCTTTCTGTATTTTCAGAGAAGGCTCCTTGAGCTTCATAGGAGAGTGCTTGTTTCAAGTGGGCTATAAATAGGGTTTAGGATTTTATTGAACTGCTGTTCTGTTTGTAACAGGTCTTGATGGCAGTCACCACATGGCCAGAGTCAGTTAATTGTGAGCAACAGGAGTTCTGTCTAGTCTTGGAGGCAGAATCAGACCAGTTGAAACTGATAAAAAATACTCACATGCATGACTGTTTTCACGGTTAGCTGGGTGTCCTGGTGTATTCCTGTGTTCCAGGGGGTTGGGAAAGAGAGTTAATGGTGGGGAAAGGTTGGGGATGGAATGCAAAGTTCACTACTGAGTTAATTCAGCAACAACTGATCTAGGCATTCATGCTAATGTTCCAACAATTACTTATGCATTATTTAGAGGTTAGGTTGTGGGAAAGGGAGGACCAGGGCAGGAAGACAGGTGGAGTAAGAGGCAAGGAACTAACAATGTGACCACATTTTGTGTCTTATGAGACACACAGGACTGTGAATTTTAGAAATATTATCTCAGTTAATTCTCTTAAGATTTTTATGAGGTAGTGTTATTATTCTTATTTTAGAGATGAGAATAATTAGCCTGTACACTATAAACTAGTGAGTGGTGGAGTTTGAATTACAACCAAGGTCTGCATATCTCAGAGTTCCATATTCTGAGTTAAATTATAACTTTCTCAGAGAAAGGAAATAAAGTTTGCCTTTTACATAGCAAGATAGGAAAGGCAAGAATGCAAAATAACAAGAAAACTTCTTGAGTGTATTTACCAGACAAGTAAATTTTATAAGGAGTTCAGAGTTTTAAAAAAAATACCTTTTTTTTTTTAAACAATTAACTTGTGGCAAGATGCAGGCAATTTTTGTCAATAGGAGCCATTTTAAAAATGGGGTCCTATCTCTCAAGTTGAAAAAGCAAGTTCAGAAGTTTTTCTCTGTAGTAGAAAGCTACTCTGTTTTTAAAAATACAAATCATGCACTAATTTATGTTAATTTGCTTAAATTACCAGGCCCTGAAGAATGCCCTAAAATGAAGCAAGGCAATTTCTTGATCATAAAGGTAAGAAGAATTTTTTTTCCAACTACAGTTTGGAGTATATTATGGTAATTCTATTTTCAGTCTCTTGAGTTTAAGGACATTAATAAATAACAGGTTCTTTCTACCCATTTGATTGTAAATCTGGAGGCAGAATCTGAATTGCAACCCTAAATTGGATATGAGTGTCATTCCCAGATATAAGAAAAATATTTAAATTGTATCCTCAGGCCACTAGTCCAATTCATACCAAATTCTCAAACAGTTTGTTTCTGCCTTCAATATCCCCTTTTTCCAGTTTTTTTTTTCAGTTTTCTTTGAGAATGCCACTGATTATACCTTGCCTCTGCTTTTGAAAATTTCATCTATAGAATGTACAATCTAAAACCTCTCATGAAATCAGGCTCTTCATTTTCTCCAAATTTAGTCATAGGAAACTATAAATCTGAAAGTCTTGCAAATAGAAACAATTTGCTATTTTTAGATATATTCAGTAAAAAGAGAAATAATACTTATAGTACTAAGGTTACTAAGGTAGTAGAAAGTTAAAATAGGTAATAAAAAAAAGAATACATGTATTTTTGTCTCAATTTTCTAGCTAAATTCTGAGTGAAAACAAAAGAAAATCCTAGCAGTATCCTGAGATCCTAAGTATGCACATAAAAGTGAGGAGTCTTCAGCTGTTTGGTATTTATTGCAATGCTACCTCAGCTTAGAATGTGCTTTTGAAACTCTGCAACCTGCTTATTCTGGTGGCATCAGATTTAACTAAAGAGCAAGTTTTTAAAAGACTTAATATGTTGTGAAACCTCTGGGAACATGTATAGCACATGACAAAGTTAAAAGGCTTTTTTCTCATTACCAAACGCATTCTGTTTCTCAGTGAAGGATAAGAAAAGAGTCAAAGTCAGAATTTAAAAAAAAAAAAGAAAAAAAAGGAAAGGCCATTGCAGTTATTTTTCAACAAAATAAGATATAAAAGGAAAATTTTCAATTATGTCTCAATTCAGAAATAATAAAAATGGAAACCGTTCTTGGTACTTAATTATTATACTGCCATAGTAAGGTATTTTTTATATCAGGAAAAACATTTGCCATTTGTTTTTTTTTKGGGGGGGGGAGGAGGGATTGGCTAACTTCACTTAGCATTATCTGCTCTAACTACATCCATTTACCTGCAAATGCCATGATTTTATTCTCTTTTATTGCTGAGCAATATTCCATTCTGTACATTTGCCATATTTTATAATCCCTTCATCTACTGAAGGGCATCTAGGTTGGTTCCACAGTTTAGCTATTGTGAATTGTGCTGCTATAAACATTGATGTGGCTGTGTCCCTGTAGTATGCTGTTTTTAAGTCCTTTGGGTATAGACCAAGGAGAGGGATAGCTGGCTCAAATGGTTCCATTCCAAGTTTTCTAAGGAATCTTCATACTGCTTTCCATATTCGCTGCACCAATCTGTAGTCCCACCAGCAGTGTATCAGTGTGCCTTTTTCACCACTTCCTCACCAACATTTATTGTTGTTTGTCTTCATAATAGCTGCCATTCTGTCTGGGGTGAGATGATATCTTAGAGTAGTTTTGATTTGCATTTCTCTAATTGCTAGAGACGATGAACATTTTTTCATATATTTGTTGATTGATTGAATGTCCTTTTCTGAGAAATGTCTGTTCATGTCCTTGGCCCATTTATTTATTGGGTTATTTGGTTTTTTGGTGTTTAGCTTTTTGAGTTCTTCATGTACCCTAGAGATTAGTGCACTAGCTGATGTGTGAGGGTGAAAACTTGCTCCCAAGATGTAGGCTCCCTAGTCACCTCACATATTGTTTCTTTTGCTGARAAGAAACTTTTTAGTTTGAGTCCATCCCATTCATTGATTCTTGGAGTCCTATTAAGGAAGTTGGGGCCTAATCCCACATGATGACTCATAGTTGGGTAGGGAAGGGAACATGGGAGGAATAGACAAACTCTAGATAGGGCAGAGGGGTGGAAAGGGAAGGGAGGGGGCAGGGGGTAAGCAATGATGGTGGAATGTGATGGACATAATTATCCAAAGTACATGTATGAAGACATGAATTGGTGTGAACATACTTTATATACAGAGATATGGAAAATTGTGTTCTACATGTATAATAAGAATTGTGATGCATTCTGCTGTCATGTATTTAAAAAGTAAAGGCAATTTAAAAATATATATATTTTCATTTTTATATTCAGTACAGCCAGTAATTGCCTAAGTGTCTTTCACCAGAGCATAAAATAATTTCATGGTGTTTCCTCCATTTCTTTGTCTCAGAAATTTTATTTTTGTCTTTTGGATTTTGATATCCTGGTTTCAGAATTATAATTTGAAAAGAAAATTGTACTGAAATTTAAAAGTATGATGAAAAAAATCATTCAGAAGCATGGATGACATTCCCATAGTGACCAGAGTAAAGATGTGTTAGTTTTTTGGTTGATTCTTTTGTTTTCTTCTTATAGAGCTGGGATTTGAACACAGGGGGCCCTAATACCAGGCAAGAACTTTACCACTGAGCAACATCCTCAGGCCCTTCTTTGATTCTTGAAGAAGCCTTCCTGGCCTGTCCTAGTGGTGACGTTTAAGTCAATTCTTAATGGAGTCTGGCCTAAAGTCTTTGGAGTCCATCCATTTAGGATACAATGGGGTTCATGGATGAGCAGAATGGAATTTTTTCTAACTTGAAAACTAATAAGAAAAAGTATTTTTTGAACACTTTTTTTTCCTTCTGTTCTCTTCAATTCTGCTCCTTTTTTCAGAACTTTGGAACAACTTTACTTGATTTTACCTTGAATCTGTGAAAGTCATTTAGATGAAAACCAAGTGTAACCAGAGATATGTAAGCTTTTAGGATTGTAACCATTTTATGTGGATGTTTAAAGACAAACTGTGAGGTCTTTTTACCTACTACTAAAGATATATGGAAATACACATGCTCTTTACATTAAGATAGGGTTACATTCTAATACACCTATCATAATTCCAAAATACCATAAATCAAGAATGCATTTAATACATCTAACAAACTGAACATCTTCACTTAGCCACACAGTACACTGTAGAGTATCTCTGTTCACTCTCATGATCATGTGGTTGACTGTGAGCTGTGCCTCACTGTTGCTTAGCATGGCAAGAGAGGATCATACCATATACCATTAGCCTATGAAGACCAAAATTCAAAACTCATATTACACTTTCTGCTGAATACATACAGCCTTTGCATCACTGTAAAGTTAAAAAGTCATAACTGTAGCCTTCATAAACACAAGCACCATCAGTAGTTAAAATGATTGAAATTGAACACTTCCTGAAGAGTTCTAATTTTCCACATTTTTAAACATATTTTTTATTGAATGGCAATTTTATTTCTAGGTACAAAAGATGCATATACTCATCACTTTTCTACCCTAAAATGTGAGGAACTAGTCCTAGTTTTACCCAATACTTTCCTAAACACATTTAATTGGATTTGGAAACAGAAACATGTATGAAGAAAAAAAAAAAAGAAAGAAAGAATATCCCTTTGTGAATGTAAGGAAAGGAATATGGGAGCATTTAAAGTTACTTAAAAAAATAATGACGGAGATCATTGGACCTACTTGAAATCTTTGTAAAAATATAGCTGTGTAGTATAATTTTACCTCGCACTCACATGGCATGAGGCATATTCCTCAGGTGGCTCTCAGCAGGTACCAGGCAGCCTGAGGTGGGCGATTATAGAATCAGCTGCAGTTCCACCAGAGTGTTAAGTTCAGGGCTCCTTCAGGAAACCTGAGATATCCAGGAACATGGGTATTCCTGTATTCCACCAAGTGGAATCTTGGGAGAAAACTTTCAAAAATATCAACAGCAATGTCCTAGGTTTTGGAGAACTTAATATACATCCAAATGCCACGTTACAATCATGATTAAAATTAGAGGACTATGTAAGAGTTTTTTAAACATATTTTAATTATATATTGTTATTACGTATATTATTATATGTGTTACATATTACAGAAAGTAATAATACATTACCCAATCAAGCATATGAGAAAATAGGGGGTACAATGATCACATTTTGTAATCAATATTTCATAGTACAGAAAAATATAAAATATATACTTTATACTGTGAGATTTATCTCTAAGTAATGCGATAATAATGATTGCATTTTTGTTTTCCTGATTTTTAAATGCTCTGCAATGACTATTACTTCAACGTAATGAAAGAAAGAAAAACAGAAGAAAGAAAGAAATAGAAAAGAAGGAAGAGAAGAAAGAAGGGAGAAAGGAATACAGTAACTTCCGTTCATGATGTGGGGGTCATTTTTGAAAACATATTTCTTGACATAGTTACTTTGTCATACTTATAATTTCTTCAGGTGAAAATTTCCGCTCTCAGACATGTTATTACCATTACTCTATCTGCACTGAAAATGTTCTCCAGTATACAGAACAAGATTCTAGATGCTACAGTATTACAGTATGAGGAAAACCTAGAGCAGTTTGGGTTCCATTGAATTTTAAGATATAAAAATGGGATATAGGGAAAATGATGGATGTATACATGTGCATGTTTGTATATGTAGACTCCAATTTATAGAGAATGGTTATGGTACGGATATAAATAGCATGATACCCATTCATGACTACATGACCACAGTCTTAGGGTAACTTGTCCATTTCTAAAAGATGAATGGTAAACTAACAGTACCTATATGAACAAGAAAATCTATTGTTTCCTAAGAAATTATATTGCTTTAGCACATATTTTAGATACAATCCTTTTGTAATGGAAACCTAAATTGGCTTGGGTGAGCAAGACACAAGGGAGATATTACTTCTCTGATGCTACTTGAGGCTTACTTACTTTGGGTTTGTGCTCCAAGTATCTTTCTGGTTTAACCAGGAGCCAGGGTCAGAGGTTTTAGGATTAACAAAAAACACCAAACAAACATTAGCCTGGTAATTAAATAACAGATTCAGGTCCTCAATGTATATTTTCTTGAGAATCAGAGTCTTGAACATTAAAGTCTGATTATTTGGACTTATCCTAAAATTTAGTTGCCTCCTACTAGTTGGTTCAATATTTAAAAAATACCCAGACAAAATCCACAAGGATTGAGCATTCTCCTTTTTAGTAGTTTAGTCATAGCCATGGGTTCCCTTTTTAAATGGGAATAAAGTTTTCTAAAATGCTTACATGGATAAAAAGCTTTATTAGCTGACCAAGGCTGTATTTCCAAAGAATGAGATTTGTCTTTTAAACAGAATCAACGTGGATGGGATCGGGAGTTCACTGTGCTCTTCAGATATTATTAAGCTGGAGGCTCAAAAATAAAATGAAAATCTTTGACAACTCTCTCAAGAAAAACAGAAGACTCTGTTACTTATATAATATCTTCAGTTTGGCCTGTACCTAAACAAATGTATGTGTTTGTGTTATTCCAAATCTTAATTTGGGCACTACTGCAATTCCCATTTCCTCCCTTTCCCTCCCATCCCTCTTCCCTATCTAGAATTCATCTCTTCCTCCCATGCTCCCCCTCCCTACCCCACAATGAGTCAGCCTCCTTATATCAGAGAAAACATTCACCATTTGTTTTTTGGGGATTGGCTGACTTCACTTAGCATTATCTTCTCCAACACCATCCATTTACCTGCAAATGCCATGATCTTATTCTCTTTTAATGCTGAGTAATATTCCATTTTGTATATATGCCACATTTTTTAATCCATTCATCCACTGAAGGGCATCTAGGTCTGCTCCACAGTTTAGCTATTGTGAATTATGTTGCTATAAACATCCACGTGGCTATGTCCCTGTAGTATTATGTTTTTAATTCCTTTGGGTATAGTTTGAGGAGAGGTATAGCTGGATCAAATGGTGGTTCCATTCCCAGATTTCCAATGAATCTCCATACTGCTTTCCATATTGGCTATACCAATTTGCAGTCTCACCAGCAATGTATGAGTGTACCTTTTCCCCCACATCCTTGCCAACTTATTGTTGTTTGTCTTCATAATGGCTGCCATTCTGACTGGAGTGAGATGATATCTTAGAGTAGTTTTGATTTGCATTTCTCTGATTGCAAAAGATGATGAGCACTTTTTCATATATTTGTTGGTTGATTGTATATCCTCTTCTGAGAAGTGTCTGTTCAGATCCTTGGCCCATTTGTTTATTGGGTTATTTGTTTTTTCAGTGCTTAGCTTTTTGAGTTCTTATATATTCTAGAGATTAGTGCTCTATCTGATGTGTGAGGGGTAAAAATTTGCTCCCAGAATGTAGGCTCTCTGTTCACCTCACAGATTGTTTATTTTGCTGAGAAGAGACTTTTTAATTTGAGTCCATCCCATTTATTGATTTTTGGTTTTAATTATATTGTTATAGGTTGTGGCCTAATCCCACATGATGAAGATTAGGGCCTACTTTTTCTTCTATTAGACTCAGAGTCTCTGGTTTAATTCCTAGGTCCTTGATCCATTTTGAGTTAAGTTTTGTACATGGTGAGAGATAGGGGTTTAATTTCATTTTGTTGCATATGGATTTCCAGTTTTTCCAGCACCATTTGTTGAAGCAATAGTAACAAAAACAGCATGGTATTGGCACCAAAACAGACTAGTAGACCAATAGTACAGAATAAAGGACACAGAGACTAACCCACAAAATTATAATTATATTAGACAAAGGTGCCAATAACATGCACTGGAGAAAAGACAACATCTTCAACAAATGGTACTGGGAAATTCCAGCTATTTTTAGAAGCTGCACAAAATTTGAATAAACTTAAGTTGTATTTTTATGGAATGACCGAATATCATTCTATGAAATTTCTTCTTAGTTTATAAAAAATAATTGAAAAATGGTAGCTTATGCATGCATAGCATATTAATAGCCAAAATCTGTTTTAAGGATTATATTCTATCAAGAAGAAAGACAATCCTATTTGTTAGTGTAATTGCCTCCTGCTTGAAAATAGTAGTTTATCATTGGGACAAGTTTCTATTTAAATGTAAAGACCTTAATAGTAAAGAAAATTAGATATATAAACTTATTACCATACAGTGTGTATATCTTTCTATCTAAATATACACACAAATATGTGTAAATGTCTATATATTTTTTTTCTATATGTAGAGTTTTATGTGGTTGTGGTTATACTTCACACATAGAGGTTTTATTTATCCTTTCACTTACAACATTTTATAAGCATTTTTCTTTTATCTACAATCTTCAAATATGATATAATATTATGATAAACTTTGTGAAGTATAAAGTACAGAAATAAAATAGTTATTATATTTGTGATTTTCAATGCCTGCATAGATTTTTAAAATTAATAGTTTATTTCTGTTTTCCCAGCTTGGGACCATAACTTTGACTTTTTTCCAGCTTTCGGGGGGGTAAAATTGTATACTACTACACTACTAAGCACATTTACAAAGCCAGACATGGTGGCACACACCTGTAGTCCCAGCAGCTCAGGAAGCTGAGGCAGGAGAGGTCTCAAGTTCAAGGCCGGCTTCAGCAAATCAGTGAGGCCTTCAGCAATTTAGCAAGACCCTGTCTCATACCAAAATAAAAATAAAAATAACTGGGATATTGCTCAGTGGTAAAGCAGCCCTGGGTTAAATACAACAAAACATTTATATTTTCCTGTAGATTTCTTTTCAAAGTTTCCTTTTAGAATAAATTTATAGAAATAAAAGGATCCCTGGGTCAAAAAGTGAGCTTGTGTTTAGCCAACCTCAGTAAAAACAATTTAATATTTTCATTAAAACTACTTGCTGCATTTGGAAAGCAGAACACCATTATAATAAATGAAAGCATAGAAGTTTATGTATAAAAGATTTTATTGTTAAATCCTTTGGGAAATTAAATGGTGTGATGGAAGTCCAGAAAATTAAGAAACTGAGGAATGAAACTAAGGGACCTGCCACAGGTTGTCGAGACTCAGTCACGTTAAGTGGAGGACTTGTAATTAGTGATGCAGGATGTCTGACTGCAGGATCCATGCTTCTGATTGGTGCTGTGCTGTATAATGAAGCCTACTGATGTGTATGCTGTTCTTTGCTTTAATTAGGATCAAGAAAAATAATGGATAACACACTACAAGAATCGTGGACTTGCAGAGCTCTACCATTATTTGGGATATTATCCCTGTTATTTCACACATGAAAAAATTGAGTTATATCAAGTTGAAGTCATGTCTCAAAGCCATACAGCTATGTTGGTCTGAAAATTAAAGATGAAGAAGATACTGTTTAACAAAGTTGGTGCTTCATTTATATGAAGGGCAAGGCTGAAAGTTTCACAAAACCAGCTTTAGTAATATCTACCACTTATTGAGCAGTGGTTATAGTCTGAAGACTTTGAATACACTTTTATTATCCTCCCAATATGCCAGAAAGATAGACTCTTATTTTATCTCATTTTATGATTTTATACTGTTACAGATAAGGAAATTAAGTTTCAAAATTTTAAATGGTTTTTCCAAATTACAGATCAGGCAGTGGTGAATCAGGATTTGAGTCTAAAGACCATGTGCTTTCAAATATACCTGGGAAGGGGGCAGTTTATATTCTCATCTGGGTAGATTACAGGGGAATTACAGACAGAAAAATAGCTTAATTAGACATGAATGTTCCCTACTCCTTGCTATGTGTCTTTGACATTGACACTCACCCCATCAAACCCCTGCAACAAACTCAGAATGGCTGATGCCTTTCACCACTTGTCACTCCTCTGATGTGGAAACCCTGCCCAGGCAACTTGACTAAGCTTTATCTTCTATCATTGCTCCCAGAAACTTTACAAAACAATAAGAGAGCTTAGAGTTAGGTGCTGAAGCTCCTTGAGGCAGAAGACTTAAGAATATGTAGAAAGGAGACCAACAGGGAAGGGGAAGAAACAATAATTTTCAATCTGAGAAGCTCCATGAACATCCTAAGCCTGTTGTTTTCCCAGGACAAATTCTTTAAAAGCCCTTGGATCTTAGAGTAGTGTGAATGTAGGTGATTAATTCCTACATACATTGTTAGCTTATACAACATACTTTCTTTAGACTAAATACAGCTAGAGGAAAAATACTGTCAGAGTCTTTTGATCGGTGTATATTCCAAACGTTTCTGTTGACTGCATGAGCTCACCAGGCTGATGTCCCCCTGATGCACTTCTCATGTTCACTATTGACAAAGATTCCTTTAAATAGAGTCCAAGACTCCAAAAGCACATCTCACTGGAGCACCCATGCTCCTTCTCCCTTCGAGTGTGCATTTCATTCCACTGTTTGCCTTCCCAAATAAATCCCCTTGTTTTCTTCAACAAATATTTGTTTGTGCTTCTTTTGATGCATCCTGAAATTCCTTTTTGTGGTGGAAGTCAAGAACCTGCCAGGGCTGTGCTGAGGTCCCCTTCTCCCTCCTGGGGACCTTCTCAGGTCCTTATCCAGTTATATACCTGAAGTGCATTCTATGACTGAAAAATACAGGTGGGTGCTGTATTTAGTTCTATTATTATGTTTTGGAAGTGACTGTGCCTCGAATGGAATAAGATAATTTCCTATCTTAGAACTGTGATTTATCTATCATGAACACTTTGAAATATAGATTTTTATATAACAAGATGGATATGTTTTTTTCCTATGTATCTATATCTATATATCAATAAACATTTGTAGTGATGACTAGAGAAACTGTCTTTGATTCAGTGTGTATTATTATTTCCTAAAGCTATTGACCCTAAAGCTAGCATCTCTCTGTATCAAACATTTCATGAGGCATGGGTAATGATTTTCTACCTAAGGCTTTTAACAGCAACTTTTGCTGAATCTGATGGAGGGCTAGAGGAGACATGGGTGATTCTACAGCTGCCTGTTGTATGACTGCTGGGAAGATATGCTTGAAGGGCTTGTTCCTGCTCACTGATTGTTCTAAATCACCTACCATCTCTCACCAAGGAAAACTTTTTTTTTTTTTTTTTTACTTTGTTGCTATTCCTTTGGGGGATTTTACTTTCCTAATTAAAGCAGGTAATTACCACCATGTGGATATTTAGATTGCAGAGCAGGAATGAAAACAATCATTCAAAATCTCAAGACAGGAACAACTATATCAGAAACAACTTTCACCCTAGACTCATATTGGATACCCAGTTGATGAATTATCTTGACATTCCTTCTTTCTGACGGCTTTTAGAAGTACACTAATATGAACAGAGACAGAGGGGAGAAGGAGTGGAGGTACTTCCTTTGTGCTATCTGGAAAGCCAGCTCTCAGAACATTGTCAGTCCCTGAGACAGGCTGAGGAATGACCATTCTTTCTTACTTGAAGAAAGTAAAAATAGCTGGTGATAACAAAACAAAACAATAACTACAACAAACAAAAACAAACAAAAAACCCACTTATTTCTTAGGAACTGAAGGAGCATTAGAGAGAATGACATGTAAATGACCAAATGACAAAAAAAAAAAAAAAAAAAGTAGGGCAGTGGTGAGAGGAGTTGAAAGGAAGAACTTTACAAAGCAGTGCCTCGGGGAGTTAGAAAGCTAACACCTGCCTAGGTACTGAGGTGAAACCAACAAGGTGTGAAAATGCCTGTCTGGAGTTCTTAGGACTTAACTCTGAGGATCTTGCTTGCTCTATACTGATGCGTGCTACACAGTTTTCTCAAAAGGATCACAATAAAATAAAAAGCCTATTTTTTTTTTTTTTGGAATTGGGACAAAAAATGAAAAAAAGAATGCTGGAACATTTGGTTTCTTTCATTCTAAGAAGTAATAAACAGTGATGTAAAACTGTTGAAACAAGTAAATAAACATATTTATTAGGGTAAGTTGGTAGGGACAAACTCCTGAACCCCAGATAGGTCAACATTGTGCTTATAAAGTTTCATGGGGAAGGGGATGGTTCTGGGAAAGGGAGGGAATAAAGAAAAAAAAAGTAATGCTCAGAGGGATAGAGACCAATGTTGAGTCCTCCAGGTAAGAAAATGAATTCTCCAGGACTGGGACATCACAAAAGCTGTGGCAGATCCCTGGCATTGTAGGGCTTGGAGTGCCCCAGAGAGATTATAGGCCTTGCTGGAGAAAGGTGGCAGTACAGGGTGGTCACTGGGGCCGGTCCGAGCACTGGAGAGAATGAGATATAAATGACCAAAAGATTCACACTGAATAAAAACAGGTTAAAGTGCAGAGTGGTCAGAGCCATTGAAAGGAAAATAATTAACTAAGCAATACTGCTGGGAGTTGAAGGCTAACATCCATCTAGATACCAAGGTAGAATGACACAGGATGAAAATGCCTATCAGTATGCCCAGGGGACAGGGCTTCAGATAAGCACCCAGAGTCCCAGAGATCTTGGCACAGAGGCAGCAGAATCACCCATCTCAGGACTGGGCTTAGGCATGGATAATGTCAGCCTGGTGTGAGGAGGAGACTTGAGAATCTTCTCTGTGAAACTTGAACTTAACCCCAGTTCTAAGGGCGGGAAAATGAAGTGAAGCTAAGATTAAGTAATAAGGGCTAAGATTGAATTTTTGTTTATTCAAATTCCTGGTAACTTGAATTTCAGGGTTTGATTGACAATAATTAGAAAAACAATGGAACTGTTTAGCATTGAATCAGTTCAGGAGTGAGAGTTGCCATTATAAATACACAATTTTACAAATACCAAAGGGCACCACTACTAGTTGAAAACACCATTTAAATTTTTATTATTTGTTCTTTTTAGTCACACAAGTTAGTAGAATGTATTTTGACGTATTATATATACATGGAGTATAACTTCCCATTGTTGTAGTTGTGCATAATATGGAGTTACACTGGTTCTGTATTCATATATGAACAAAGGAAAGTTATTCCCATTCATTCTACTGCTTTTCCTATTCCCACCCTCTCCCTTCCCTTCATTCCCTTTGTCTAATCCAATGGACTTCTATCCCTCTCTCCCCTTATTATGTGTTATCATATGCATAGCAGAGAGTTATTAGACTTTGGTTTTGGGGATTGACTTATTATACTTAGCATGATAGTCCCCAGTTCCATCCATTTACTGGCAAAAATACAATTTTGATACTGGATGCCTTTGATTTGGTTAGAAAGGTAAATATAGCTATTTTAGAACAACATAGTATAAATCTTCTGTAAAGTTAAAAAGTGTACCCCGTGTATTTTTCTCTACCACCTGAAAATATGCAAAACTTTATTGAGATTGAAATAAATTTGATTACATCAGGAAAATTTATATGTAAAAAAGCTACATATTTTAGAACAGTCATGAGCATTCTCCCTGTTAGCTAATTTCTAAATTGTATTAGTAGCCTCATTTTACAAATGGGAAATTAAAACTAGAGATTACCCAAGTGAATTTGTGAAAATAATAATATTTTTTAAAGTGTGTGTGTGTGTGTGTGTGTGTGTGTGTGAGAGAGAGAGAGAGAGAGAGAGAGAGAGAGAGAGAGAGAATTTTTTAATATTTATCTTTTAGTTTTTGGTGGACACAACATCTTTATTTTATTTTTATGTGGTGCTGAGGATCCAACCCAGCACCCCGAGCATACCAGGAGAGCGTGATACCGCTTGAGCTACATCCCCAGCCCCAATAATAATAATTTAATGAAAAATCTGGTGAAAAATGTTTATTTATTAACTCCCAATTTTGTGCTTGTTTTATCAGATCACAGGGATTATGTAGCAACATTTTTCCTCTCAAATTTCTTAAACAGACCCTAAGTTTAAAAAAAAAAAGTCACCATCACAGAGAACAATCCATACCCAGGTGTGCATGCCACATCTCTTTGGCACATTGGGATCGGTTCCTTTTGCCTTCTCTCAAATGCCTTAGAAGTAGACTATATAATCTTAGACCAGGTAATTTATGATTGTCAAACACTGTTGTCAAACAATCTATTTCAACAAGACTCTGCTCTGCAAACTCAGCTGCAGTTAACTTTGACTTCATTGGCAGAGCACATTGCTGCCTTGCTAAGAAGCATGTGATCCAGTGTTCTAGATGCACCTTCCCTTGATCTACCTCCATCACTCCACACCCCCACGCAAGTTAGATGAGTGGGAGCCAAGATAGATGACTTGCAACTGATTTTATTTATCATTTCTTTGGGTCAGGAGTGAAAACATTCATTTGGAAACCATTAGATTGAACCAGATTGGAACAAGTTTATTTTCTAAATCTGTGGTTCATGT